GCAGACTGCGAGCAAAAGCTGACTTCACATGGGGGAAGGCTTCTATAAGGAATTCCGAAGGATCTCCGCCGGCGAAAAACCTCCCGCAGGTCAAGAGTGCGGGAAGTCATTCGAGTGTCGTCGTTCTTGAACATGCCAGTAGCTCGGGAAGTTAAAATCCCCGTACTATATTCCAGAAAAAAAAACACAATCAAAGTTGTAGATCACCAGGCAGGAACTTGTCCTACTCGATCCGGGCTCATGAGGGATATGTCGATCCCGATGTTCCAGGGGCCCGAGCCTCTCCGGATCCTCGACGAGTTGTCATATGATAGTTGCAAACGATGGTGCTGCTAGTTCCGGATTTGGTTATGTGCGATCGATACAAGAATTCACCTCTAAGGTTGTTTCGGATTCCGTGATCCACGTTCGTACACTACGAATCCGAGCTGTCTGGGTGTACCATTGTCGATGTTCGATTAAAGACGGTTCTTGAACATCTTTATTCGCTTGATCCTATTCGTTCGAGCGACGCCTACAGGGCTTTGTCAGATTTGGGAAGTACGCCACGCGGCGGCATCGTCGTCGTCGACGACGGCGGCGGCGTAAACAACGGCAGCAGCCGCATCGCATATAAAACAAGGAACGACTCCGTTCGCTTGCTATCAATTAGATTCGCTGTATCAAATAGCGTCCATTGTGGTCAGACCTCCCAAGGGGTTTCGGTCGGCAGAGGAGGCTTGAAACATTCTGGCCGACTGCGGAACACTTGGTCTTTTTTTTTCTGACTGAGGCAGGCTGGCCGACTGGCAACACGGAACAGTTAGGAAAAGCTTACGGAGCCGCTCTCGGTGTGCTTCGACTCGAAACAAATCTTTAATTTGCTTGATCGGTGCTGATCGCCTTACACCCCCAACGACGACGAAGACGACAGCGGCGGCGACTACATCAGCACAACAGAAGAAACAAAGCAGGATGTCGGTTGCACTGCGAGGTTACGCCCGCACTTGAGCGAACAGATTCTTCAATGTCTTCATGTCGAACCTCGTTGCGTTCTGAATGACGTCCCATCAAGTAGTCTCCGTTCGGACGCTGCCTTTGGACGTAGTGGATGCTTGGTGAACGGAGCCCGCACAAATGATCGAATGGTCTCTCGCATTGCGGAAAATCTTCTTACCGGACTATTCGATCGTATGTCGAACATCGCGTCTGCCGGCGTCCTCCCTTTAGTCGGTACAGGCTGTTTGTTATCTGCGCTGAATGTAAAAGTCGAAGCGGTATAACTACGGCAGCAGAAGCCTTACGAACCTTATCCGTTAGTAATGTACCACCTCGAACGGACAGCGGTGTTCTTTTCCGATTCGTCTGCCGCAGGCGGCGGTGGTGGCGGCGGCGGCGCGGCGTCAACGACTTTGTCGAGAACGAACATCTTCTTGAATTGGTTTGCGGCTCTGCAAAAGCCTCAAAGCGTGAAAGTCGTCGTCGTGTTGGCTGATTGTGAATCGAAACCGACAAATTCAAGCATTCGAACGACTTCTCCGGTGGCGGACCGCCCTGCCCTGAACTGCCCGCATAGATCACCGCTACGCCTGTCTGTGTGTCGTTGCTGCTGCTGCTAGCTTTATCGACGTCGAATGCCTTTGTCAATTTAGAATGATTGTGTATTTACTGAACGAGTTTGTAATCCCGAGATTGAGATGGGAGCAGCACCGGTAGCTCAAGAGCGGATCAGACATTCTCTGTTCGATAACTGCGATCGGATATTTTCCCTCTTTTTCTTTCCTTGCCTTTTTTTCATACATATTTGGCTCGAGCGATGCCCCTCGAGCTGTCTCTGGCTCCGGCATGCTGAATGCGACCGTCGTCGTAGGAAACAGAACGGAGGAATGTCTGTCAACCTGAACCAGATCTCGAAAGCTTACCTACAAATTAAGTTGTGCGAATAAGACGTCGGGAGGGCGGTCGAGCAGGCAGGCGTACAAACAGACGCGCAAAGGGAAGTCGAACCTATAGATTGATACGTGCCCTGATGAATGGATAAATGGACAAACGGTCAGATGGACGACCGCCAATGGAGCCACCCTCGCAGAGGCCCCGATCGGGAGACCTGTTATTGATCTGCCGGCCGGCCGGCCGCCGCTGCGAAGAAAGTACACAATATCAGCGTTGTCGGCGGCGGCAGACGCAGAGTATAAATGTTTGAACCTTCGAAACTTTCGAAAAATTTGCTCGCGAGCACGCGCCCAAATTTTGCAAAACTGATCTGTATTCTCGAGCGTACCGTGTCGACAATAGCTCGTCCACGCAGATTCGAGCCGTCAGGGCTCGCCGTCAAATGATGGACGGATCCACGCTTTGTATCGCTGGCACGCAAACCGATTCCCGTGCCGGCTTCGGGTCCTCACTACAAACATATCGATGGCAGCGCGCGACTCTCAACGTGACCGCGACGAGAAAATACGAAGCAAGTCTGCTCAATTAACGTAACATAAACGTCAGCTGACGCCCTGCGTTGACGAACAAGGCCGGGCGCGGGAGAGGCTCTAGATGTGATGTTCGTACACCTGGCAGTAATCCCGTAACAGTCGTCGACACTAGTCCCACACGGAGCTAAGTTCATGATAAAGTCGTTCAGACACAGGTGACAACCACGACGACCTATCGAGACAACAACCAACCACCCTATCGCTCGTTAAGAATCATTTCGAGGGATCATCATCGTCGCGCGCTCGCGAAACTACGACGCTTTTCCTTCGGCCTCATCAGGAGGATGCTGATGGACTGTCGACAAGCGCTCCAGTTGTGTAACCTAATGGCGCGATTCTCTTAGTGTCGACTTTCAGACCAGTTCCTCCCTCCACTGATTCAGTCCGAAACCCGAAGGCGAGTTCATTCATATATCAATAAGCGTCCATAGGGATCACACGCCGCGGTCCACCACATTTCATTCGAAAGCCGCTTTGAGAAATGTCGATGGGAGCCGTGAGGGCTGATACGGTCCCCCCCGACCCTCACTTGATAATTATCGAGGACCACTCATTATTCTGATGAAAACATATAAATCGCTATTCATTCTCATTATTTTTTTGGTCATGAGTTTTGGTAGTCGCCGTGTCGCCTAGAACAAGGGTCTGAATAAAGTGATTCATCGAGCAAGCTGAAAATTCAAATTTGACAATTATTGCCAATGATCCATTCTTCGTCAGCGCTCGTGGACTATCTTCCTTCGCCAGGATACTGCTCGATCGTTCCGAGACTTCTCCGGTCGGTCGAGTGCGGAATCCGAGTGAAGCGCGATCTCAAGTGACGAAATCTCGCCGGAGCGTCGCGCGGTCTTTTGCTATCCGACGTCGAAATCAGTCCCAAGCCTTCAAGCCTACATGTCGGTCTGGAGCCCGTCGCTTGAAGACTGTTCCTGGGAAAAATATTATATGGATACGCTGACTCATCACTACGGTCGTGATAGAAAAGACGTTTTTCTGCCGATGATTCGCCGAGGTAGAGTTTCCTGATCCAACCGAGGGTCGGTCCGATGGGTTGGACGTAGGAACCAATAGTCAATTCTCGCCACAGGCCGTCGAGACCTCGCTGATGCTACGAACGGGAGTAGAGAGCGCGGAGACAAATTTTCAGCCGCATTCGAGGCTAGGGAACCGTGTGCGTTCCTCGACATTGCCAGTGAGCAGCCACTTTCCCGGAGACTTCGGATAGCGGGTATTTTCCCGAAAACGCCGAAATGCGAATAAAAAGCAGCAGAAGAGAGCGGTCACAGTCTATCGAAGCTCAACTCATTCCAGATTAGCTTCTTCTGCAAAGGAGGCTTGAGCTCAGAAATGAGTCTCCGCCAATGCTACTGATCGTGGCGCTGTCAGGAAGACGGTCTTTCGATTTCGGGAAGGATCAATTCAGCAGGTACCCATCAAACCGAGAACAGAGGTATCGCATTCGGAGCATCGTCATGAGAAGAAGATGATCGGTATGAGTGCTGAGAGATGAATCACTTCGAGTCGGTTCCTTATAGATGGGGGGCGGGTATTCTTCCCGGAGCTTCTATGGCCGAGTTTCGTACTCGGGGAAGGGGTCGATCTGACGATACCCCTCCTCCCGAGATTCCGTAGAACCGGCCCTGCCGGGCTCGCTGCGTCAGACTTGGGGTAACATCAACATCTTCAAGTAGCGCCTCATCGCCTGGTAACTCCACAGCGAATCACATCACAGAGTCCATAGGATGGTGTTTGACGTGGTAATCTTGAGACAGGTGTGAACAGCTGAATTTTGATTTGTACGGACCCACGAAGTCCGATGTGAAGTCGGACAAAGAGCACAGAGATATTGTTCTTCTGGTCTAATCTGAATACACAGACGGCACGTGGCTCGGAGCGAGAAGCTACCTACGATCGGCATGGAAGACCATTCGCCACCTGCGCCAAAAGACTCGCGAAGTGTTGTGCGAAGTACTAAGTCATGCTCTGGCTCCATTCACGAGAAGTTTATCGCGCTTTCGGTCGCCTCGGTGCGGTAATTGAATCCGTTTGGGCGGTCCCGTTCGGAATCCGACTAGGAGTCAGGCATTCGGTCTAGGATCCTGTTTCTTCCAATCATTGCTCCAGAAAGAAATCTCTCATCCCATGCTCGGTGATGCTCCTTCGGTGGAGAATACTTCGGTCTTCTCGTTGAGCCGGGAATTCGCGGGAAACAGAGAAACATGGACGTGGCGATTCTCGGGGTCGCAAGTCAAGCTGACCGAATCTCGTCAAACCTGGGGGTAAGAGATCCCCCTGCGTAGCCTCGAGATGATTATATGCTATGAGCGAAGCCACGGAAGAATCCGACAGAGGCTCGTCGCCAGATACGGCCATTCTGCCGGACCGCGCGAAGCCGCTGAAGACTTCTGCCGAAGCTCCGCCCGTGGCAAGAATATTTTCGGGCCTCCTTCGTCAGGTCCGCCTCCCGCGTTTAAAAACATCTCGCATGGCGACGCATGTCGCAGAAGGCCCTCAGCTTACTCATCGCTTCTTCTGTGCTTCTAATCGCCGACGGCTTGTGGACTAACTACCCGCGCGACGGATTTCCGACATTGTGAGTACATTTGTTCAGAAATGATGATTTGACAACAACCGACGGGAGAGTGCGCGATACTTCTCATTTGCTCTTGAGCTCAATGTAAAAGTCGACAAACGAGACGGATGCCGGCTAATCGCCACGGGGGGATTGTTCTGCGTTAAACGAGTACGAGCACGATGAACTTTTCGTCGTGGTGTCGATGGCGGACTCAAGTTCATTCCGGAGCTGCCGCACGGCTGGATGGCGGAGACGACCGGGGGGATCTCGTCAAAAGTGTCCGATCAGAAGCGAGAACGTTATTTCTGGGTGGGGTACTCTGCATACCGCCTTGTCAGGCTGTGAGGAGCGATTGAGGCGCTGATGCCATGACGGCTACCAGACTGAGCCCCCGATGAACAAAGCGATCGATGAAGAGCGTCGAATACCAATGGGGAAGCAGCGACAACTATTGAATGAAGTCGACGATTGCCCTCGGATGCGTGGTCGGAGGTACGTACATCCGAGGATCTCTTCACTGTGAGACGAAACTCGCTCGTAGAGTCTTCTGGTCGCCGATCAGCCGATCATGTTCAATCATGGATCGCCTGCTACTTACTCCGGAATGGTTATCATCTAATCACATCTGCTATCGTCTATTTACCGACGGCTTGCTAAGCAGCGCCTAAAGAAGGCGTTTAAAAAAATTGATGACCACAATTCGGGGAACTGCCTCCGACGTTCGGGCGCCGTCAAGGAGTTTTTTTTCTGGCCGACCCGTGGCGTCGCTGTCGGCGCCCGGCTCGTGGAGAGTTCATTGGTGGAGGTCGATGGATGCGGACAACAGGTGTAACTCAGTCAGTCAGTCGATCGGAGTCTTGTTTCTTTTCGCATATTTACCTTCACTTAAGGCGAACGAACAATATTTGAGCAAAAATGACGCGACCCGTTAAGTAAACACGCCGCGACACTTCGGCTGGTTTTCGGCGGTCGACACGACGTTGAGTTTAGCGGCAGTGGCTAAGGAACATCGGGAAAGTGACGGGGAGAGACGTGGCTTCGGCCTACGCAACCGTTCATAAGTAGTTGCGGCTGATCGCTACGTTTCTGCTTCGTCTTGCAACTTTGCGTAGGTCTGTCTCCTTCTAGCGCGTGGGTTGTGGATCGATGCCATGGGCCTCCATTCGTGGCGGCCTTTGGAGCTCCGAGTTGACTTTCGATTTTTCTCCTCCGCAGAATCACAATGCTCAGCTCAGATGGAGATTCGGACAGCTCATCACAACGCTTCAACCTCCGGCCGAGGTCGATGAAGAAACGCCAGAGCCAGAACGAGACGAAGCGAGGCAAAAGTCGACCCGCACCGCTCTCGAAATACCGCCGGAAGACGGCGAACGCTCGAGAACGATTCAGGATGCAAGAGATCAACGATGCGTTCGAGAAACTGCGCAACGTAGTTCCGGGAATGCCGAGTGAGACCGATCCAAAACTGACGAAGATCACCACGTTACGTCTTGCGATGAACTACATCAACGCTCTCAGCCGGGTGCTGGCCGAGGCCGACAGGATGAACCACCCATCCAGGATGGAGTTCTCCCTGGATGAGCTCTACGGTGATATTCAGGAGTTGATCGCTTCCGACGGAACCTCCGAAGTCAGCTTCAGTGATGCGTCGTCCATCTGAGTGATAGAGTGGAAATCTACTCAAGCAGTGAATGCTTGAAGCATATCTGTTGGTAAAGGTGATCGAAAATGAGAGAAGAGCGAATGAGAGCCTGTTTGAGTCCATGTGGATCAATCTTCGGAAGAGAGTCCGCGGAAGTTTGTGAATGGATGCAATCGAGTGGATAGGACGAATTCCTGAGTGCCATAAACTTCGCCCCCGCAGTGGTGGATCGATTGGATCCGCCGTCTAGTCGCTTGCTGCAGAACTCAAACCTAGGTATTCCGAGAATATTATGAGATTATTGAAAGCCCTCAGGAGGAGGAGAGCGGATTCCTCGCAAGACAATGCGAGTGGCAATACTTTGGTCTGTGAAGCTTTAAAGGGAGACTCGAGCGCCCAATGATAAGCGTCTGTCATACCCGTGTACATTGGTTCACCTCATACGGTGTTACAACAAGAAGAGCGATGCTGAAATGTGCGACTTGCCAACAAGTTCTTTGCATATCATGACCCCATTGTGATTCCCTTGGGTGGATATATGCCTAACTTTCGATAGTTTGTAGATATTTTTCCCATGAAATATACGACTAATATATCTGATCTATATCCTGTTCTGAAAGTGCAATAAGTCGTCTAAACCTAGTATATATATGCGCAACAATCGAGTGCTTTCCGCAAGGAGTCACTCTGCGTGCAAGATCGCAAACGAATAAAGAAAACAAACGAGCATACTGTCTATCTTTCCATCGAAATGCGCTAGAAGTTCCGCGCGAGGAGGGAGAAGGGTAATCATATCGTCGCTGAGCTCGGCACGCTCCCATGGCTGCTGCGGGTCTTGGTGGGGACAATCACTGCCGCTCGCGAGAGGAGCGCAGATTCTTGAGCGCTTCCTCCGGCGGTCTCAGGGATGGCTCATTAGGTTCCATCCAGAATGTTCGCGAGCGCGATCGGCGAGTTTCTGATCAAGAGTTAAACGGTTTTTCAGCTCGCACCCCAGGGACACGCCGTAAAACGACTCAATAAAAAGATAGATTGTCCTCGACAATCGATGAGAGCGGATGTGCGATCGTGAACTTCGAATCAAAGCATCCGCTGCTGACGTCGATAATGCCGAAATGCAGAAAATCAAATGAAATAACATTAAAACTCAATTCGTTATTAAGTCCGTCGATGGCGAAGGGACGCGCCGCTCAAAGGAGCCGCTGAAAAAATAAGCGTCTAATGGGCATCGAACTCGCCGAGTGAGTAATCACCTACCGATGGGTGAAATCCAAGGTCCCAAGGTACGTTTTCGTACCTCCTTCGGATCGCTAGGTGCATTCTCATCACCAACGCAATGTTTTGAGATCATGGTTTGCCCGTACACGAGATGCTCTACGCGCAAGCTTCCGATTCCCATCGGGCATGGGTGCAGCGGGTTTCGATTCGTGAAATACCACGATCTTCGAGTCATGAGACTGTGCGAGTTGTAGCTAGCACGTTAATGAAGAGCACTCGCGACCTGCCCGCGGAACTTTCGAAGATGCGGATTAATCCACCGATTCGGTCCAGCCTCTTGACTGATCGAGCTCAGAAATACTCGTGTGAAGTGTGAGTTGTCGTCGCGTTCGATGTCTCCGCTGAACGCATCTCTTCTTTTCTTCCAGTAATCCTCAGGCTTTCGGTCGGGTCATAAAACGAGAAAGCAGGCCCAAGGATATCAGACGAATACACGGATCGCGAAAGGTGCTAAAAGTCGAAAATAATTCCACAATGATTTCGCACTGTTTTTCCTTTCATCGTGTTGCTGGGATTGGCCTTTTCAGACGATTATTCGATGTCCCGCGATTCGAAGAACTGCTTGAGACCTGTGGGAAAATTCCGACCCAGAAGTCGTTCACACTCTGAAAATTTTCGGAACGCAGCGCTCCGCCTTCCTCGACAGCTCCCGAATCGAGATCATCGGTTCTGAATCCGGGAATGATCTTCAAATTAACTTCCAGGGCTCTCTCGGATGCCGTACCGGAAGCTTCCGAAAAACCCGAAATGCTATGCTGAGCAAGTATTGGGGGAAGGCGGTTGGTTGCCTGAACATCGTCTCCCTCAATATGCCGCTTCCCGCTCGATCAGTTTCGAGTGCTCGCGATCAGGGGCTCGGTAGAAGTTTTGGAGGTCCACTAGGTTACGTCGCCTACCGCTGCAGCCTCGATTCAATGTACCAAGCTTTCGATTATCCATCCTCGGTTCGATGCAAAAGTCCGTGAATCTGGTCAGCGCGACAAAAGATCTGCTTCACGAAAAAGCGGAGAGAAAGCCGACGGGCTGACGCGTCCCGTAGCTGCCGCCGCGGAGAAGCCGTCCGCGAGCGAAAAAGCAGATCAAGGAGATGTGAGTATATTTTTGCGTTGAAGTGAGTCAGCATCCATCCGACGCTGTCCATGTTTGGAGTATTGGGGTCAGTTCATTCACGGCGCAAGCAGCGTACGTTCATTCAGCGTTGTTGTCATCCACGCCTGCAGTCGTAGACGGAAAGGAGGTTTCCAGAATGGGTTTTCTTCGCCATTGCTTCGCTTGCAGTCTCACCTTCGCTCGAAGGCGGACTGCTGCGCCGGAAGCCGATACGGCGAGCACGACGTCACGATCGTCAAATCATTCGCAGCCAGGTCCCGTATTTTTTGCTTGACTCGATTGGACATTCGACGATTCAAATTCGCGCGAGGGACTGCTCAAGTTGAATAATGAATACCTGCCCGTACATTATAATATCCTCATCAGTCCGAGCCGGAACTCAATCAGAGACGATTGTTTCCGAGCTGATACTTGGATCCTCCACGCCGTCCGACTCAGCTTACGGCCACGATAAACGGGCTCTTGACGGATAATCGTGTTCCTCCGCATCTAGATCATTCCCATCGCACGCGAGAGCGACCGCAGTCCTCAAGCGTACAGGAATGGACGTCAGCAATGGACGACAGCGACAACAAGGAGCGTTATCTCCATTGCTCGGTCGCTGAGCTAAACTCAACATGGCAACCGCGATCTTACGTGGGCGTAGTTTCTGCGCCGTTCCAGACTCTTCACAATGAAATCCTCGCACAGCCGTCGTAAAATCGCCAACCAGCGAACGCCTGTAACATACATTGAACGAGCTCCCTGGAAGTCGAGTCAGCGAACGTTGAAATCGAGGTCGCGGTCCTGGAAACGACATCTGTGTTCGATGATCATCTTTTGTCTCAAACTTTTACAACTCCGTCAATCGCAGCGACAATGGCGGGTTTCAGACTCAGAAACTGAATCAACTGTCCGAGCGGACACCTCGTGGCTCAAGTCTCGACTTACTGATCGGAATCACGGCGCGGGTACTTCGTTTCCGAAGGGTGCTTCGTCCAATCGTGCCGATCGCTTGGGGAGATCCCTCTCAGGAGCTCGGGCTTCCCTGCGGATCCTGTCCTCTCTGCAACACATCTCAAGCTCGTAATTACAGTGAGAATCGAAGGGGAAGGAAACTGTAGCTTGCGAACGTGGATCATTGAAGGAAGCTGTTCTCTGTTTATCTTGGGCTGGGCTCACTCAGCTGACACCAAGGGTCACTCCCATTCATTCAGAATATCACAACTAGCGGACCCATTCGAAATGCTCTCCGCTCCGTCAATCGTAAGTCAGTGAATCAGTCAGGCCTGCACCCAGGTCTCCGAGAACGGCACAAAATCAACCGTTTCTCGCTTGGTCGCCGTTGTCAAAGCCGTTCCAATATGATGCCAGTGAACTGCACAGGCGCCTTGAAACGCTAGCTGCAGACGCGTAATTAAAGTGTCATAGTTTCTGCTAAATCCAAAATCCAGATTTTCCTCGTTGCCTGAAAGGTTTCGAGTAGCGCACCCAGACCGATTCGAAAGCCAACTCCCATCGATGCTGCTCCTGTTTGATCGATTTGAAGCTTGAACTAATCTTTCAAAATACAGAGCACCACAGTCAGTCGAGAACCGGAACAGCTCTCACGAGGGTCTCACCGTATGGTTTGGACCGACTCGAAACGGCCCGACGACGCGCTCGCATCACCGAAGAAAAGCGTGTAAACAGAGGAAACGAAGCCGGCGTCCGAGCTGGGGGATTCTCGTGTGCCGACGCAAGAGTTGGTAGCGGCAAAGTTTCTTTACTTTCGGCGATTCGGTGCTGAGCTGGCGAGTGGGATGACACTTACAAATGCCCTGCTGATATCTTCATTATAGAGAAGTTTGTGGTATGCGCGCAGATCTTACCCGCAGGACCCACGGAATTCTTGATTAGAGACCGCACGGAACCAAAGACCGATGGCATTGTTGTTCTTGACTGAGATAACAGCATTCTCAACACCCGATGCACAGATCGACCTCTGCGGCGAGGTCTTCAAGGGGGATCCACTCAAGAATCGGTGGACGTACCCGATCGCGGCCGGGAGAATCGACTCTGACGGCGAGAGAAGCCTCGACTCCTCTGAATGGAGGGGGAACGCAGTTTTGGACGATATTCCGAAAAATAATGTGGCAAACGATCGGCCCATCGAAGCCCGGATTTCCCTTGGGAAGAAATTAAAGATTTCTCCCCCTCCACTCGGAGCGAGATTGCTCGTCGTGTTCTTGTCGGCCAGCGCGAACTGAGCCGGAGAATCCGTGTAAATTCGGACGGTGTGCGCGGCGGGCGGCTCGAGGTTTGATGGCTCCTTCGACTTCTCCTGGTCGGCGCCAGTCGCGGATCCAATTATATGCGGACTTAGACCAAATACGGACGCAGTGGTGGTGCACTTTGGGCTAAAACAATTTAAGAACAGTTTCATCTTTTTTTTGTGCAGTGAGTTCATCTAGTGATTGTTTGTGCGCGTTCGCTCGCTCGTCCGTCAGTGTGCGCGCTTTGCCGTTGTTAAATCCTCCGACTCGCTAGAAGCGACTTCACTTCGCTGCCAGATCTCTGCCTCCACCCCCGCCCGTTGTGGCGCCCGCCGCAGCCGCCGCGATCGTCGTCAGATGCCGCAGCCAGCCGGTGACGAAGCTTTTTTTCATAGTAACCAAAGCAGCGAACACTAATCGGAAATTGGCGAATTGAACGCCCGTTCAACAAGCCCGACCAAATCCGAAGCGTCCACCACACCCGTACCTGAGTCACTCTTTTACCTTCTTTCAGTCTGGACTTTCTGTGTGTT